AAAAAAGGAGCTTTTATTATTTTTAATTTTCATTTATTGACTTGAGAGAGAGACACACACACACACACATTGATTTGTTCCATTTATTTGTGCATTCGTTAGTTGATTCTTATATGTGTGCTGACTGGGGATTGAACCCACAACTATTAGCTTTTTACTATATGAAAAACATTAGGAGTGAAGTATAATTGTTTTCTACAAAAAGTTAAGAAGTTTAGTTCTTTTGAAATTCAGAGTTTGTAATGAATAACGAGAGAGACCTTTACCAGGTGGATTGGGGCCAGTCACGAGAATTTTGGTTCTGCAATTGCATAGGGACTCGCACCTCATTAGGTAATGATCACAAGCTGAGCCATCAGAAGTATGTTATCTGTACGCCACAGGCAGCATCCACTGTTTGGATGTTTTTCAGCAGAGGAGGGACACAATTTCAGTAGTGTTTGAGGAAGGTGAAATTAAGAACAATAGGCAGGTTGCATCCAAGTAGAGAAAGGCTGCAGGCAGGAATTGAGAGAGTAAAAATAATGCAGCTATGCGGTCAAGAGGTGTAAGCACTGGTGGCAAATATGAGAATATGCAGAAAAGAAGGAATGAGAGAGCCTTTGAAGGAACACTCCTATGACTTGTAAACTGGGTGGTGTAGCCCAGCCATCTTGTGTGGCACTCACCATGCGTCAGTCACTTCTGGTGCTTCACATGTATTGATTCATTTGATCTTCACAACAGCCCTAGATAATGACTGTTCTTATCCCCATCTTACATTTGCGGAAACTGGAACACAAAGAGTATAAGTAACTTGCTTAGAGTCACACAGCCCAGTGATGGTGTTAGGATCTAAAACCAAGCATTCTGTCTCTGTACCCTGATTCCTAGCCACTCTATCTATAATAAACTATCATGGCAAGGGGGATAGAAAAGCAGGGCCTAAAATAAAGCTCTAAGAGGCTTAATTAACATACAGAATCCTCAATTTCTATTTTAAATGTATAGAATTTTAGAGCCAAAATTTTACTCATTTAAAGGCAAAATGCTTTAACCAGCATGGCAACTTTAAAGATGTAGAAATCTGTGCCCACTGAGGCTTGGCAAGGTGAAATGATTTACCCAGTGCTTCACCCACGTTTGGGCTAAAATGGGTGAACAGGCGGGAGCGCACGCCGACACCGGCAGCACTGTTCTGGCTGCCGGCCTGGCGGCCGCGAGTGCCCATGGTCCGGCCCTGGCGCCGAGCCCTCTCCAGCCTGCTCCCTACATCCCGCTTCAGGCTCCCAACAGTCCCTATGTTTTCTTCCATTTCAAGACCAGCTACAAATAAGGCCTAGGGTTTAAGCTCTTCCTTGTGCCCAAACCTCTTTCTCACTTTGTTTTTTTGTTTGTTTGTTCGTTTGTTTGGGTTTTTTTTTTTGTTTGTTTTTTGCTAATTTCTATTGAAAACAGGAGAAAAATAGAATGAAAACTTGGAGGAAATTTACAAAAGTTAATAAATATTATAGTCACTCATCTTTAATTCTTAGCTATCTTCCAGATCTAGATGTCACTGTCCTAGAAAAAATAGTTTTCAGGAAATACGTGTCGGGTCTTGGTTGGGATGTATTCTGAACCTCTGTGGCCTACCATCCCTCTTGCTCATTAATTATGGTGTTCCTTGACTTGACCCTGTGTGTGTATCCTTCCATAGGTCTTGTGGACACTTCCCTTTCAACACCTAGGCCTCAGAAAACAATAAGTAGCATAGACTACATGAAGTTGTAGGCACATCATGTGCCTGGTACTCTTGATCCCAAATATCACTGCACGTACAGTGAAGTGGGGAACACTTTTTATTAGAACTCTTCTAAGGGAGAGGGGCTATATGTGGGTTGTAACTAAAACTTTGAAAAGCTATTTGAAATGGGGCTTCAGGCTTCCAAAGGATATGCTTGTAACTGTGTTTTAAAGAGGGAGCACCTAGTTCACTTCAGGTCTTTTGATTTACACAGTGCGGGAACAAGCTAGAATTGTTATAGTCTCCTACTCTGTTCCACAGAATGCTCAGTTGGTCCTCTCAAAACATCAAATATTTAAAGAATACTGGCTTTCATGGACACCAAATGAGTAGTTCATAAGTGACCTTCATCTATCCCTAATCTAAGTCAATAGTTAACTTTGTTTTTAGAATCTGATTTTTATACATATATAAAATATTTATGGCATGCGTACATATTCACTTTTCCCAGCAAAAAACAAATTTGCCCCAAAATGTGAATATGTTTTGTGAGTACATAGATAATCCTAAAGCTATCCTTTGCCCTGATAAGGACCATTGTACATAATGATTTGTGTCACCCGACTGGCTTACTTTCTGTCCACAGTAGAATGGCCACTTTAGGACATTTCCTTGTAGACGATGGACACCAACAAAGAACGCTTGTGGGATGAAATGAAAGATTAAATATAGGCTGACCACATAATTGCTGAAGAAGCTGGAGAAAGACACTAACTTTGAGAAATTGGTTTATTCATGAGAACTTGAATATCTGGTTAGTGAATGTGCTTCATATAAACTTAAGAGAAAAAAACAGGTCAAGAACAAAGATAGTACTTCCAGAATCTGCGCTCACAGAGATATGGGACAGAACCAAAAAGAGACCACTACAAGATGGGTGTAATATGTCATGAAACTGAAAAAGAATTCCCAAAAGTAGTTTGTAAATGGTACTTAAATTAAATACAGTTGAAAGAAGAGTTGAATAGTTGACTGGATTTTTTTTTTTTATTGTTTGGGGGTTTGGGGGTATATAAGTTCTATCAGAATGTAGTCATTATTTATAATGAAAAGACTGCAGCCTGATCCCAAACTACGAGCTTAAAAAGAGCATAGCTTGTTTAAAAGTTAGGAACGACAGTTATTACCTCCTAATTTCTCTCATTAATGCTTAGCTCTACGGCACCGTTTTTGTGTTGGGAGTAAAACTGTGTTACTCAGAGTCTCAAAGTTAATATAATGTAAAGAGTATTAAACAGTGCCTTCCACATGTGGATACGACATCATATGCTATGCATCCTGATGATATATTGTGCTGCTGGGAATTAAAATTGTAGCATTCAGTTTTCTTGATTTTTTAAAATAATAAAAGCAAAAAAGAATAATTGGCATTCTTTATAAGGTCACTAAGTACTAAGATGAATGTTCCAAAATTCCCAGGCCTTGAGGAGGGTCTTGAGGGAATTAAAAACTACACAGGAGCTTCTTAACCTGGGCCAGCCGATCCATAGACTCCCAAGGAACAGTTTAAGAGACTATACAGAATTTTTTTCCTGGGGGAAGGGCGCACTGGTTTTCATCAGATTCTTAAAGGGATTCTTATCCCACAAGAGGTTGAAGACCAATTATATGATGCTTCGGTTAAAGGAAACAAAGAAAATAGCTTTTTAAAAATAACCTGTAAAAAACAAAATTCAACTGAGTGAATTTTAAAGATCTTATTGGCCTTATTCAATGATTCATCAACTAGGCAGCACCCAATACAGCATCTAAAAAAGGAGCTCCAAGGAGATGCAAAAAGTGGAAGACTTTTATAAGCAAAAGGGAACAGGAACCAAAAAGGTAGTTTTACTGAGCAAAAAAGGGGGTGGTTATTGCAAGGTTATTCTCTGTTCGGGATGGCAGGGGCATATCAGGCAGATGACCTAACTAGTGCTGGTCAGGTGATTCCTGATTGACTGGCTTAAGATTCCATTTCTGAAAGAGCCAGAAGTGTAATTAAGTTAAATCTTAGTTCGATGATACGAGGTTTAGCTTAAGCAACTGCACTTTGGGCCTGGTTTATTGTTTTTAAGAATTGTTTTTAAAAATCATCTATGCTTAGTAATCTTTATTTAAAATCATCTATGCTTGAATCTTTAAGGGCTGGGAAGTGAACAATATGGAAACTTAAATAAAAATAAAATTTAAAAATAAACTTCAATTTTGTGGTTATTAGACAAAAAAATAAAGTAAAATCCCCATGTCTTAAAAACTGCTTTCAGGCCCAGGATGACAGTAAGAGTTATAGCTGTGTGTCAGAGCTCGGGAGCAACCAGACAAAATCAGAGCAGGCCAGAAAGCTGCAGGAGGAATGTCTTCAAGAAGATGAAGAGAGGAAACAGTGTAAATGAAACTTCGTAAACAATGATTTAGAGAAGTGGGAAAGAATTTGAGATTGACTTAGCCATAAATGCGTATTCAATTAAGCAAATGAAAATGATTTTTAGAAGTCCTATATAGGAAAGGATATGTAATCGTAATTATTCCATAGCTGAATTCAGAATAGCATGGCTATGCTACAATTATATTGGGAAGTGAAGGCAGGAGATACATACATACATGGGGCGGGCATGGGAGGGGAATGGAAGAAAGCTCATCTTCCATAGTGGGAAATTACTAGATAGTGGCTAATACTAAAATATTAGGAAAGCACTATAAAGTCATGTTATTTAGCACTATGGTTGTACAAGTACCAAAAGAATAAACTACAAGAGTTGAAGGCAGTTACTGCTAAGGAAGCAGAAATGGAAAAGGAAGCTGGGAAACTGTTGAGCTAGTTGACTCTTTTAGATTATATGCATGTAAAACTGATTTTGGAAAAATAAGCAAAAGTCTCAGGGGGTTTGGAATTAACCAAGTTGCCAAAACCAAACAACATACCCCAAAAAAGACCACAGCAAGGCAGACTCTCCAACCTGGACACTTGTTTAGGTGTACATGAATGCAATGACTTAGGAAGACGCTGGCAGTAAAAAAGGAAAGGAAGTAAAAAGAATGTATGGTGTTTCTCTACAAATAATAGATTGATAAAGAACTTCCAACATTGCTCTGAAATTAAAAAATAAAAATGAAGAAGTTTATGGTCAGTTGCTCTTGGTGGCAAAGGAAGCCTGTAGATCTAGTTACCGGGTGAAGGGAAGGAGGTTACAGTGGACCCCTAAACAAGGTTGGGATTAGGGGCCTCGACCCCCTTGCAGTTGAAAATACATGTATAGTGCTCCCTTTGGCAGCACACATATTAAAATTGGAACAATACAGAGAAGAGTATCATGGCCCCTGCACAAGGATAATATGCAAATTAATGAAGCGCTCCATATTTTTTCAGTTACAAAGTAATCATGGGGGTGTAAAGCACAGCATAGGGAATATGGTTAATAATACAGTAATGACTGTGTTGGGTGCCAAGTGGGTACTAGGCTTATCAGGGAGATCACTCTGTAAATTATGTAAATGTCTAACCACTGTGTTGTACACCTGAAACTAATATAATATTGAATGTCAGCTATAATACAAAAATAAATAAAAAAGGAAATATGTGTATTATTCATCTCACCCCAGATTTAACTACTATTAGCTTACTGTTGATCAGAAGCCTAAAAGATAACATAAATAATCAATTAACACGTATTTTATATATGTATTATATAATATATTCTTACAATAGAGTAAGCTAGGGAAAAGAAAATGTTATGAAGAAAATCATAACAAAACAATAAATTTACAGTATTTATTGAAAAAAATTCCCTAAGTTATTCTGTGCAGTTGAACTCTATGTTGTTTGAGGGCCAACTGTAATTGCTAATAAAATATATGGCGCACACATTCAGTGAATCTTTGAGTGAATGGATGAATGCTTATCATTAAACTATTGTTATGACCACTTTGAAAATATAAAGCTCTATATAAATGTAAAAAAATGTTTGGACATTGACATTGACATTGATTCAGTTACTTTAAGCATAATTCCTTTATTTTTATTTTTCATAAGATTTTATTTGTTTGTTTTTAGGGAGAGGAGAAGGGAGGGGGGAAGAGAGGGAGAGAAACGTGGCTGTGAGAGACACCGATCTCGGTTGCCTCCCTTGCTTGTCCCAACAGGGGACCCAGCCCACAACCCAGGCGTGTGCCCTGACCTGGAATCAAACTGGCGACCTTTCGTTTCCCAGACAGCGCTCAACTTACTGAGTGACACTGGTCAGAACAAGCATAATTCTTTCAAAATGATCACAGCCAGGTAGTTTATTCTGCTTCTAAGACTCTTGTCATTTTGCATGCATGTTACAGCTATAGGCCTTTTGGAAATACCTTAGGATCCTCTCCCATTGAAAGGCAGAAAACATACTATGTACCCAATTAGGTGGATGGCAGCGTCCTTCACTACTTAGCTCCTCATTGCTGAAGAGGAAAGGGAAGGAGAGAGGCAGGAGGTGAGAGACCTCCTGTGGGGGCAGTCCTGGCTGGGGCTGATGCCCAGGCCTGCTCTAATCCCCGAGGTTATGCTTCAGGTGACGGGCAGAGGCCCCCATGAAAATGGAGAGCATGGCTGATGGGACAGCAGTACTTAGCCCCCAAGGGGGCCTGTGGTGGTGGACGTAGCAGAAGCATCACCTTCTACCTGTTTTCTCATTACTTTAAGTGGTGAGGCCTATACTCTTGGGGCATTTTTTTCTCTACGGTGTGAACCTAGGTTAATTTCTCTGAAAGCTCTTCTGTAACATGAATTATATGTAAGTAGAGTTGTTTGAGGTGTCGGCACGGGCACAGGAGAAAGCTCAGCCACTTCATGTTCTTCCTGCTTGCCCTTTGTCTCGTATCCTGGGCCCTCCACCAGCCCCTCCCCCGACGCCCCACCACGTACATTTCTGTACCCTTCCGGCCAGTGGCCAAAAAGAGTGCTAGGCTTAGAGCCAACCTCAGAAATTTTCTCCCACTGACTATCTGTGTAGTAAGCTTGCTCTATAACGTACAAAAAGAATCAGCTGATTTCTGAAGTGACATGAGGATGAGCAAGTGGAAAAGATTGAGCTGTGTATTAAAGTGTCTTCTGGTTATCAAATAAAGACTCCTTTATCATAAAAGCCAAAGATAAAAAAGAAAATGTGTATGTTTAATATATGGAACAAAAATAAGTCTATTTTTGACATAGTACTTGAGGAGAAGATAGGTCAAAAAGCCCAGCCACCCCTGAAATGAATTTTAGACTCTTAATATTGGTGTGATGGGACAGAGAGAGATATCGGTGATGGGTGCATTGCTGATAGAAATGATTTTTTACAGTAGGTGCTAAATTAGATGTAGAAAGTAGGAGAGTTATCAAGCCTACATTGTCATGCCTGACCTTCCAGGTCCCAGTCGAGGAATCATAATAAAAACGAGTTGTGGGCTTATCTAGAGACACAGCAATAACAGGCACAGAGCAATTTTCAAGCTTTTCTCCAAATGGGGTGACACCAGGGCTTATTCGGGGCCATGAAGGAGATGCATTGGTTTTGATCAGTTTTTAGAACTATATAGTAGCTTATCTGTGGGTCAGAGAAATTTAGTTTTCTCCATTCTTTGTTCATCATTTTCCCCCTTAGGGGCTACATGGATTAGCCTCTGGGAGCTGGGATGAGGCTCGGAGCGTTAACGGAGTCCACGCTGATCCAGATTGCACATCCCCGTATTTCACAGTGTTGGGCCCCCAAGCTCATCCTGACTGAAAGATTCAGTGAAGGCACGTTACCATCTCTTTATATGTAAAAGGAAGAGGAATATTGAATAGCAGTACAGAAATACATATAATTCCAAGGTGCTAATTAGAAAAACCCACACTGCATTTATTTTATCCACTGGCAAAATATTACTCATAGTTACACCTCTAAAATGACTTCTTTTGATTTTTGTTTAATTGTACAGTGTCTCACTAAAATAATGATCAGACCTGAATCTTAAGTAACTAGGAAAAAGGTAAACATAACCACTTGTTTCCACCCTCTCCCTAATTTCAGACAATTTATAACATAATAAGACTTTGAAGACAAAAATAAAAACTGTACTACCTGGAGAGAAGAAAATTTGTTACCCCACTCTGCTTGCTGGCTGTGATGATGGGACAGACTTAAAGGGCTTGAACACAGTAACTGCTAATCCTTTTAAAATATCACTGAGAGAATAGTTATCTTGTCATAAGTTAAGGGAATGTTTTAAGTTTTAGAAATACCAGAGTGGGTAATATTTATGTCTATGAATTTGTCTAAATACACTACAATTGTGGGAAAGAAAATGTAACAGGAATTAGATCAATTCCTTTTCCTTTGTCAAACTGCTTAGCTTCAAAGTAACTAAAGGGAGGAAGACCTTAGTGGGGACCTGTTTTTTTGCCTTGTGCCATCAGGTCTTTAGGATGTTACAACATCTAGTATCTTAACATATGGACAAACAAATCAAGAACTGATTTGTTCTGAACTGTTACTAGTCATTGTCTTTACTTATTTTAAGGCAAGGGTAAACCATGTTATATAGCTGTTGATTTTCTGCTTTCCTAATATTCTTCCATCTAGCAAAAGATGCTGGAAGATATCATTCCCTTCTCCTGTATACAACTTGTCAGAGAAAAGAGCAAGCTTTATGAGAAGGCAGACATGTTTTTAAAAATTGTGCATAAAATAGAAATTGACTCAAAAGCAGAATCCCAAGGGAAACAAGTTCACATTCTGGAGTTTTTATAATTATCATCTTGAAGCACCACTTATAGTTATAAAAATGTTAACATAAATTTGTATTTGATTTAGTTGTTGTGTAAGAATCATTCCCTGGCACAGCTACTTGGTGATCAGTATTAAAACCAAAGGTTATAACCCAGATTTTTAAGAATCCAGTCAGTATAGCATTTAACTTCTTATTGTGTGCTGGTTGCTGGTTAAGTACAGGGCAGGGCAAAAGTAGGTTTACAGTTATTTGTATAGAATATAATGCAATAATTAATAATACAAGAGTAAACTCTGTTTTGCGTACTCACAACTGTAAACCTACTTTTGCCGCCACGTGATATAGGAATTGTTTATTCTCTCCCCCAGATCGTAAGCTCTGTTGAGTTCGGTGGCCTGCTTTCCACTTCAGCAGGGCTTAGTAAGGTCCCTTAGCATGATGGGCATGCAGTAAATGTGTCAAATGAATGAATATGACATTCAATTAGTATCTAACTCAGCTTTAGAGCTCACAGAATGGATTTTAGATATAGAGGGTGAGAATAGAGGCAGAAAAACTGGTTGAAAACCTCTTATGAGGCATTAGAGCACCAGCTGACTAATCAAAGAGGGATGACTGGGGAATGCGGAGACGGCCTCAGTGCACAGATGGTGTCGAAATTGCTCAGGGCAAGTGATTGGATTAATCTAAGATGGGGGGCAAGAGCCTGTAGGGAGAATGAAGGACAAAGAAATAGGGAAATGGAGGTTACTAAAGCTGAAATATTTTGTCACAAATTGAAGCCTGGAGAGAACAGTGACCTGAGTAGATAGTTTGAGGGACTAGCAGGTTCGATGGAGGTGAAACCCGAACGTTGTGGGATCAAAGGGTTGGCAGCGTTTCTTGAAAAGCTTGCATTTGCAAGGCACTGAAATTAAGAGTTGTGGGGGGAAAAGGTGCCACCCAAGTGACCAGGTCATGGTTTCCGCCCTCCAAGGGGTATTCGCACACCGTGCAAGTGGTAGAGATCTCTAGAAACGCATAGTGGAAAAGGTTCTTTCTTTTTGGGAGAATCCAGCAGGAAAGAGTTGATCTTTGAACAAGGCTTTTCAGAATGAATTTAAAACATGAAGATGGGAAGGAAGACGTTCCAGGCAAAGGGGGGATAGAATTAGTAAGACGTGGACTCAAGGAAACATAGGATGTGTCAGGAACAAGACGTTACCTTTAGTGTTAGTTAAGAGATGTGGCCGAGCCCTAATACAGTACCTGCAACTTGATTCTCTGAGCATTAGGGAGCCCTTCAAGGCTTTTAAAGGGAGTGACATTAGATGACCATGCACTAGAAAATCTACTCTGGCCTCAGTATAGAGGTGAGTTAAGCATTGTTTCTACACCCTGGCTTCACATTAGCATCACCCAAAAAGACTGTAAAAATTTCAAATCCAGGCTGCAGCCCAGACCAGCTAAAGCAGAATCTATGCAGTGGAACCCAGACACCTGTCTTATTAAAATCCCCAGGTGATTCCAATGTGCAGCCAGAGTTACATGCCAGTGATTTAGAGCAGGTGTTAGGGTACTTGCTGAAAAGGGCCAGATAGTCAATATTTTTGGCTTTTATATGATTTCTGTTGCAGCCATTCAGCTCTGCC